GCTGTGCTGGGCTGAGCTGGGCTGGGCTGAGCTGGGCTGAACTAGGTTAGGCTGGGCTGGGCTGAGCTGAGCTGAGCTGGGCTGAGCTGGGCTGGGATGGGCTGAGCTGGGCTGAGCTGAGATGGGCTGGACTGGGCTGAGTTGAGCTGGGCTGGGCTGGGCTGAGCTGAGCTGAGCTGGGCTGAACTGGGCTGGGCTGAACTGGGCTGGGCTGGGCTGAGCTGAGCTGGGCTGAGCTGAGCTGAGCTCAGCTGAGCTGAGGTGGGCTGAGCTGGGCTGAGCTGAGCTGAGCTGGGCTGTGCTGAGCTGGGCTGGGCTGAACTGGGCTGGGCTGGGCTGAGCTGGGCTGAACTGAGCTGGGCTGACCTGGGCTGGGCTGTGCTGAGCTGAACTGGGCTGGGCTGGGCTGAGCTGGGCTGAACTGAGCTGGGCTGACCTGGGCTGGGCTGTGCTGAGCTGAACTGGGCTGGGCTGGGCTGAGCTGGGCTGAACTGAGCTGGGCTGACCTGGGCTGGGCTGTGCTGAGCTGAACTGGGCTGGGCTGGGCTGAGCTGGGCTGAACTGAGCTGGGCTGACCTGGGCTGGGCTGTGCTGAGCTGAACTGGGCTGGGCTGGGCTGAGCTGGGCTGAACTGAGCTGGGCTGACCTGGGCTGGGCTGTGCTGAGCTGAACTGGGCTGGGCTGGGCTGAGCTGGGCTGAACTGAGCTGGGCTGACCTGGGCTGGGCTGTGCTGAGCTGAACTGGGCTGGGCTGGGCTGAGCTGGGCTGAACTGAGCTGGGCTGACCTGGGCTGGGCTGTGCTGAGCTGAACTGGGCTGGGCTGGGCTGAGCTGGGCTGAACTGAGCTGGGCTGACCTGGGCTGGGCTGTGCTGAGCTGAACTGGGCTGGGCTGGGCTGAGCTGGGCTGAACTGAGCTGGGCTGACCTGGGCTGGGCTGTGCTGAGCTGAACTGGGCTGGGCTGGGCTGAGCTGGGCTGAACTGAGCTGGGCTGACCTGGGCTGGGCTGTGCTGAGCTGAACTGGGCTGGGCTGGGCTGAGCTGGGCTGAACTGAGCTGGGCTGACCTGGGCTGGGCTGTGCTGAGCTGAACTGGGCTGGGCTGGGCTGAGCTGGGCTGAACTGAGCTGGGCTGACCTGGGCTGGGCTGTGCTGAGCTGAACTGGGCTGGGCTGGGCTGAGCTGGGCTGAACTGAGCTGGGCTGACCTGGGCTGGGCTGTGCTGAGCTGAACTGGGCTGGGCTGGGCTGAGCTGGGCTGAACTGAGCTGGGCTGACCTGGGCTGGGCTGTGCTGAGCTGAACTGGGCTGGGCTGGGCTGAGCTGGGCTGAACTGAGCTGGGCTGACCTGGGCTGGGCTGTGCTGAGCTGAACTGGGCTGGGCTGGGCTGAGCTGGGCTGAACTGAGCTGGGCTGACCTGGGCTGGGCTGTGCTGAGCTGAACTGGGCTGGGCTGGGCTGAGCTGGGCTGAACTGGGCTGGGCTGAGCTGGGCTGGGCTGGGCTGAGCTGAGCTCGGGCTGGACTGGGCTGAGCTGAGCTGGACTGGTCTGTGCTGAGCTGAGCTGAGCTGGGCTGAACTGGGCTGGGCTGAGCTGAGCTGGGCTGGCCTGGACTGGGCTGAGCTGAGCTGGGCTGGACTGGGCTGAGCTAGGCTGGTCTGAGCTGAGCTTGGCTGAACTGGCTTGCAATGGTTTGAACTGAGTTGAGCCGGGCCGAGCTCAGTTGAACTAGGCTGAGTTTGGTTGAAATGAGCTAGGCTGGGCCGGGCTGGGCTGAACTGTGGTGGACTGGGCTAGTGCTTGAGGTGAGCAGGAGACAGTGGGTTGAGCATGGTCACCCCCAGAGCCCTGGTTTCCAGCCAGACAGCCCCCTCTGTTTCTCGGGGGCGCACAGGGCCATGCAGCCTCAGGGTGCAAATGTGGGGCTCCCCTCTCCCCTCATCAGTTGACCAGAAGGGAACTGTGAAAAGTCAAGGGCAGACCGTGCCCTCTGTAGCCCAGCTGTCCAGGGGGCAGCCCAGAAGGACTGATTTGGAACTGGGCCTCCAGCCTAAAGTTCCCCATAGTCCGTGGAAGTCAACTGCTAGTTTAGGAGGGTGGGGTCGGGCGGGGGGGAGGTGTGGGGGGATGGTTGGACCAGGACTGTTACCCAGGACGCGGGGGGGGCACCGAATTCTCAGGCCCCCTATCCTCCCCAGCTTGAGCCCCAGGACCGGCAAACTGGCCCCCATGCAGACTCAGTCAAGCCCAGGCTGCTCTGTCTTTTCTCTGCCCTCTCTCTGGGCCCATTTCTCACGATACCCAACACCCTGGGGAAGGGCGTGACTGTGCTCACTGCACAGAGGGCAGCTGAGGCTCCACCAGTACACACAGACTCAGCTGGTCAGTGGGAGAGCCGTGTGCAACAGCCAGGCCTCACGTCTGAGGAGCGTGTGTGGTCCACATGCTCAAAGTCCCAAGGAGCGCGTTCAGAAACGGCTCAGCTGGACTCAGGTGGCCACTGCCGACCCTGGGTGCGCCGCGTACGAGCTGCGTGACCTTGGGACAGTCACTGACTCTCTGTGTGTTAAGGAAACGCAGGCGTCGTCCTGCCCTCATGGGGCTGTGTCGGGCGTCTGGTCAGCGTGAAGGCTGCCATCTCACAGCACACCATGTGTTTCAGTGCAGGAGACCAGCCCCAAGCTCTTCCCACTGAACCTTAGGAGCGACAACCCAGCGGGGCAGGTGGTCATCGCCTGCCTGGTCCAGGGCTTCTTCCCGTCAGAGCCACTGAAGGTGACCTGGAGCCCGAGCGGCAACGGTGTCATCAGGAACTTCCCCCCTGCTCAGGTCGGGGGCCTGTACACCATGAGCAGCCAGCTGACCATGCCGGCCAACCAGTGCCCAGACAACAAGTCTGTGAAATGCCAAGTGCAGCACCTCTCCAAATCCAGCCAGGCCGTGGACGTGCCCTGCCAAGGTCAGAGGGCGGGCTGCGGCAGGCCCCCCATGTTGCCACCCTGACCCAGCTCCCTGACTGCATCCCTGTGGGCACTCCCCTCAGACAAGAGGTGGCTGAGGCCTGGCGGGTGGCCAAGAGGGGCCTGGGCTGGGGATGGAGGCCAGGAAGGCGGACGGAGGGGCTCGCTGACCTGCTCTGGCTTCTCTCTCAGTTCCAATTACGCAGTGTTGGTGCAGGCCCAGCCTGTCCTTGCACCCACCGGCCCTTGAGGACTTGCTCCTGAGCTCCAATGCCAGCCTCACGTGTACGCTGAGTGGCCTGAGAGACCCCAAGGGCGCCACCTTCACCTGGAACCCGACAGGTGGGAAGGACGCCATCCAGGAGCAGCCCAAGCCTGACCTCTGCGGCTGCTTCAGCGTGTCCAGCGTCCTGCCGGGCTGTGCCGATCCCTGGAAAAAAGGAGAGCCCTTCTCCTGCACCGCCACCCACCGCGAGTCCCAGGGCTCGCTAACCACCACCATCAAGAAACCCTCAGGTGGGCCCTGACCCGCGAGTGGGCGGCCGGGCGCTCCACAGCGCGCGAGGTGCACTCCTGAGCCCACCCCACCCTCCAGCTCCCGCCCACCCCCCACGCGGGGCGCCCAGGGGGCAGGGGGCACTGTCCTCCCTGCCCAGACCCCTGACCCTGCTCTCTGCCCTCCAGTGAACACGTTCCGGCCAGAGGTCCACCTGTTGCCGCCGCCGTCGGAGGAGCTGGCCCTCAACGAGCTGGTGACGCTGACGTGCCTGGTGCGAGGTTTCAGCCCCAAGGATGTGCTGGTGCGGTGGCTGCAGGGCAACCAGGAGCTGCCCCGCAAGCAGTACGTGACCTGGAGCCCCCTGGCCGAGCCCAACCAGAGCGCCCCCACCTTCACCGTGGCCAGCGTGCTGCGCGTGGACGCCGAGGCCTGGAAACAGGGGGAGTCTTTCTCCTGCATGGTGGGCCACGAGGCCCTGCCCCTGGCCTTCACCCAGAAGACCATCGACCGCCTGGCGGGTAAACCCACCCACGTGAACGTGTCCGTGGTCATGTCGGAGGTGGACGGCGTCTGCTACTGAGCCGCGCCCCCCCGCACCCGCCCCTTGAATAAACACCGCGCTCGCCTGAAGCAGCTTTGCGCTTCGCTCCAGCCGCCCGTCTGTCTGTGCTCGGGGTCTGCACACGCCAGGAGGGGGCGGGGCCCGGGGGAAAGGGCAGCTGCCGCCCCGACTCTCTCTAGGCCTTGGTTTCCCCTCAGCCCGACGCCGGACGTGCCTTCGTGGCCGTGCGCGAGTGTGAGCACAGGAGTGAGGGTCGGACTGGGGCTGAGATGTGTGCGACAGGCACAGCCTCCTGGGTCCTGAGAAGAGTGGCCCCACGATGGTTCCCAGGGGCAGGTGACTTGGTCACTTGTATTTCAGGAAACTGCCTCTAGGGGCAGCCGGGAGGCGTGAGCGAGAGAGAGGGGAGCCTGGCGGCCAGAGAAGGGGCTGGTGCCATCATGCAGAGGGGGGCTCACAGGAGGAGTGGCGAGGGCAGAGGGCTGGGTTCCAGGGGCCCTCTGTGGGCACAACACACAGAAGTGCAGGACGGCCCCACTGACCACACGGAAAGGGGGCCACCCCACCTGGGTACAGCCTTCCCCTCCCCACATCCCACTGCTCTGCACATGTACACAGGGGCGCACACACACATGCACACGTACTCTCATATGTGTTCGTGGTCGCGCACGCGGGCACACGTACACACACACACACACACACACACACACACACACACACGTCTGAGCCCTGCAGGTGCAGGAAGTTGACAGCCCAGAACCAGCTCCAGGAAGGCAAGAGAAGTCCCCACCCAAGCTCCCAGAGGGTTTTCCCCAGGCCCAGACCTGCTACCTCAGGTCCCTCCAGGCCTCAGGCCTCCCTGTGTACCCAGCTGGGCACAGTTCAGGGATCGATTGGAGAGACCCCTCTCAGGCATCACCTGCTCCCCACTTGGTCCGCAAATTCAAGTCTCCCACGCATTCCTGAGCCCCAAACCATAGATGAGGTGGGGGGCTGGGGTGGAGAGGGGTCAGAAGAGACAGCTCTCACCCAGGGCCCCTAGACAGCTTACGCTTGGAGCTCCTGGCAGGAGGGAAGGTCAGGGAGACCGAACCTAGAAGGACAGTCCCGTGACCACCATGAGACACCTGCACCAGGGCTCCCACAAGGGGGCAGCGGGGCCCCTGCTCTTGTTTAGACACCTTCTGGGCCTTCCCAGGGGACCTAGCCTTCTGGCTGCCTCTCTCTGCTTCCCTGCCCACCCTGGCCACTGCTCCCCTCTTAAGGGTCCAGTCACCAAAGGGCAATGGGGGGAGCAATGGATTAATTGGGGAAGTGCTGCCACAGGGAAGGTGGTCCAGCCACCAAGGGACCAGGACCTGCCCGCAGGAGGAGCTTTCTAAAGAGAGGGGGAGGCGGAAGAGACAGTAGATGAGGGTGGAGCCAGCAGACGGACAGCACAGACAGGTGGATGGGTCACAGGACATATGATGGATGGAAAGATGGACAGACAGGTGGATGGGTGGGTGGATGGACGAATGGATGGATGATGGATGGATGGACAAATGGGCAAACAGATGGGTGGATGGATGGACAGGTAGATAGGTGGATGGATGGATGGACAGGTGGATGGATGGATGGATGGATGGATGGATGGATGGATGGATGGACGGATGGATGGACAGGTAGATAGGTGGATGGATGGATGGACAGGTGGATGAATGGATGGTCGAAGAGACAGATAGATGGAAGGACAGAGAAGTGGATGGATGGACCGAAGGACAGATGGGGGGTGGATGGATGAATTAATGGAAGGATGGGTGAGTGAACAGTTGGATGGATGAATGAGTAGATGGACGGATGGATAGATAGGTAGGTAATTAAATGGTTACATGGATGGATGGATGAATGGACGAATGATTGGATGTGTCAGCATATAACAAGCTGGTCCAAATCCCATTTAACATGGGAGGTCTATGCCCTGGGACCCTGAAGACAGCAAGGTTGCCTGTGTTGGTGGCTCTCACCTGGGCCTTTCTCATGCTCCTTGTAGCTTATCAGCCACTTCCTGGGACAGCAACAGAGCCCCTTGGTCTTGTCCATCTGGCCCTTGGCACAATGAACCACAGACCCAGATCTATGTCTCGACCTGGAGCACCCTGAGGGTGGGCATGTCTGATCTTCTCTGGTCCCATCCAGGGCCCAGGCCAAGAAGGTCCAAGAGCAAGGGCTTGCTGAGTTCACAAGTAGGGCTGGGATCCAGGACGCCTTGGGCTTGAGCTCTCCTTGCAGCAGCAGAGACGGTGCCCACCCTCCTGCCCTGCCATGTCCCTCTCTCTCTCTGAGGTGCCCTGAGACCCCCAGAGATAGGAGTCCTGAGGGTGCCTCAAGAGCTGCAAGGTCCAGCCCCTTCCCTGGGCACCTGCTCTCTCACCCTCCAGGAGGCAGCCTCAGACCTGAGACAGGGCATCTGCACCGCCAGCGTCCCCATCCTGAGAGCTCCCGGCAGGGAGGGCACCAGCTCGACCCACACTCACACAGACCCAGGCCTCACAGGCCTGCCGTGTCTTACAGATCACCGGGACCCGCTGCCCTGGCTGGTGCTGGACCTGCCGTGGGAGGGCCCCGAGGAGGACGGCCCGGAAGCGAGCCTGTGGCCCGCCACCGTCACCCTGCTCGCCCTCTTCCTGCTAAGCCTCTCCTACAGCATGGCACTGACTGTGACGAGCGTCCGCGGCCCTCCTGGCAGCCGAGGGAGCCCCCAGTACTGACCAGGAGCCAGCCGGGCACAGGTGGGAGATGGACAGACGGGGGCGGATGGATGAAGGAGGAGGTCCAGCAGCTGGCTGAGGGGGCAGGAGGGCCCGGCTCCAGCACAGCTCCCCTGTCCCTCCTGATGGGGGTCTGGCCTACAGAGAGGCGGCCCCCCACAGACCCTGAGGGCTTGGGCAGGCCTGGGGGCAGAGCACGGATGTGCCCCAGCAGTGTCAGGGCATCAGACTCCCTGGGTGCGGCTGCCACGGGATTCCATCCAGTCTATGGGAGGCAGGCCATGGTGGGGAAGGGCCACTGGCAAGGACGCTACCCACCCCTGGAGGCCCCGAGGCCTGACACCTCTCGTGTTTGCAGGGAGGAAACGTGAGGAGCCTCCTGACAGCCCAGCTGGATGCCAGAACTCAGCGCTGCTCAGAGGCCATACGCGCACCCGCAAAGGCCTTCCTGGTGCAATAAATGATCCCAAAGGCAGAAGTTCTCAAACTCTGAATGAGGGGAGGGCGAGGAGAGGGGCAGAGGCTCTGAAGACAAGGATGCCGGCCCCATGGCCCACGGCAGGGTCTCAGGGGTCTGGACGTGGGCCCCTTGCCTAGAACTCATCAGCTGCTCCTGTGGTCTTGCAGGCTCAGGCAAGTGCTGGGTTTCACAAAAGAGAAAGTAAAGCAAGTCCTCTCACAATAACTACACCCAGAGTCCTGGTCCTGATCACTGGGTCCTGAACCTGATCACTGAGCCCTGGTCCTGATCACTGGGCCCTGGTCCTGATCACTGAGCCATGGTCCTGATCACTGAGGCCTGGACCTGATCACTGAGTCCTGGTTCTGATCACTGGGCCCTGGTCCTGATAACTGAGTCCTGGTCCTGATCACTGGTCCCTGGTCCTGACAATTGGGCCCTGATCCTGATCACCGGGTCCTGGTCCTGATCACTGGGCCCTGGTCCTGATCACCGAGTCGTGGTCCTGATCACTGGGCCCTGGTCCTGATCACCGAGCCCTGGTCCTCATCACCGGGCCCTGGTCCTGATCACCGGGTCCTGGTCCTCATCACCGGGCCCTGGTCCTGATCACCGGGTCCTGGTCCTGATCACTGGGTCCTGGTCCCGATCACTGGGTCCTGGTCCTGATCACTGAGCCTAGTTCCTGATCACTGGCCCTGGTCCTGATCACTGAGCCATGGTCCTGATCACTGAGTCCTGGTCCTAATCACTGGGCCCTGGTCCTGATCACTGGGTCCTGGTCCTGACAATTGGGCCCTGATCCTGATCACTGGGCCCTGGTCCTGATCACTGGGTCCTGGTCCTGACAATTGGGCCCTGATCCTGATCACTGGGCCCTGGTCCTGATCACTGGGTCCTGGTCCTGACAATTGGGCCCTGATCCTGATCACTGGGCCCTGGTCCTGATCACTGGGTCCTGGTCCTGACAATTGGGCCCTGATCCTGATCACTGGGCCCTGGTCCTGATCACTGGGTCCTGGTCCTGACAATTGGGCCCTGATCCTGATCACTGGGCCCTGGTCCTGATCACTGGGTCCTGGTCCTGACAATTGGGCCCTGATCCTGATCACTGGGCCCTGGTCCTGATCACTGGGTCCTGGTCCTGACAATTGGGCCCTGATCCTGATCACTGGGCCCTGGTCCTGATCACTGGGTCCTGGTCCTGACAATTGGGCCCTGATCCTGATCACTGGGCCCTGGTCCTGATCACTGGGTCCTGGTCCTGACAATTGGGCCCTGATCCTGATCACTGGGCCCTGGTCCTGATCACTGGGTCCTGGTCCTGACAATTGGGCCCTGATCCTGATCACTGGGCCCTGGTCCTGATCACTGGGTCCTGGTCCTGACAATTGGGCCCTGATCCTGATCACTGGGCCCTGGTCCTGATCACTGGGTCCTGGTCCTGACAATTGGGCCCTGATCCTGATCACTGGGCCCTGGTCCTGATCACTGGGTCCTGGTCCTGACAATTGGGCCCTGATCCTGATCACTGGGCCCTGGTCCTGATCACTGGGTCCTGGTCCTGACAATTGGGCCCTGATCCTGATCACTGGGCCCTGGTCCTGATCACTGGGTCCTGGTCCTGACAATTGGGCCCTGATCCTGATCACTGGGCCCTGGTCCTGATCACTGGGTCCTGGTCCTGACAATTGGGCCCTGATCCTGATCACTGGGCCCTGGTCCTGATCACTGGGTCCTGGTCCTGACAATTGGGCCCTGATCCTGATCACTGGGCCCTGGTCCTGATCACTGGGTCCTGGTCCTGACAATTGGGCCCTGATCCTGATCACTGGGCCCTGGTCCTGATCACTGGG